CGCCCATTGTTGTTTGGCGCGGGAGCGCCGCGCTTTCCATCGCAAAACCATCGAAAACCAAGAAAACCAAGGCATCCTGGAGGCAAGCAGGGCGTTTCTTGGCACGCGTCGCCACTGCATCCCACCCGTTCGCCCGCCCCGAGAGGCCCGCTTCCCATTTGAAGCCGACAGCGTTCATGCCCAAACTAAATAATAATTTCACGCATACTCCTGCCACGTGGGATTCCTGTCCCACGCGAAAGAGATGCGCAGAAAGTTCGGAGCGCGCGCGCGCGGTCGGCACGCCTAGAGCAAGGCCTACACGCGGACGGCGGCGCGGCTGACAAATACCACCTCCACGGCTACTTGCCGCGGACGGAGGGCGCCGGGGTGCACTGTCGGACACTGGGCCCGTTTATCTTTCAGAACGTCCGGCCCAGGATCGACGTCTGCGTGTCCAAGACGAGCGCGGTTTCCCCGCGCTCGGCAGCAACCCACGGCTTGCGGCACGCGTGGCTGCGCAAGAGCGGGACGGCGTTCAATGCCACAAACTACGAGGCTGGTGCGCGGCACAAGCCCCAGGCGACTTGGCTGCAACACATCTACCAAGACGAAAAGCCCATGCACGAAAGAATTGAGGTCTCCGCCAGGGATTTCCGAACGGGGCATTCGGCTCGCAAGCGCGACGCTGAGGCGGCCCCCCAGGAATTCATTTCTCGCCGCCAATGTTTTCGGAATCGAAAACTGCGACAAGCGCAGATCACTCGCGAGGACGTCGGCGGTGACAAGGAGGAGGTCGGCGCCATCCAAATCGCGGTTGAACGACATGTGAGCAGGACCTTCCGAGTCCGCGCCTTGCCTAAAAGAGGGCGCGCCTGCACTGGGCCACTCAGCCGTGACATCTCTGTGGACGCGGTCGCGGGCATCGCTGGCCCCCCTTCCCGCGCTTCCATGAGCGCGCCCCGTGGCGGGGGGCTGTGTAATGTTTCGTCGGTCTCTGAGCCAATGGTCGGTTCTCAGGGGGTGCAAGTGTTTTGCTGAAAAGTCCAGGGGCGGCGGTGACGATGGCCCGGCGGCGCAGTGCAAACGGGAACGAGGACTTCGTGGTGGCCGATCCAGCCCCCTTGTGTTGTTTGGGCCGTTCTTGCGGCGTCTCTCTGTTGCGCTTCAACGGCAGCGCGTCGGGGGCGCCGTCGAGCAAGATGCCTGCGTTCTGTTCTAGATCTAAATCCGAGATGTCAGAGTGCTCGTCGTCCTCGACTGTCGCCCCTGCAGGAGCGGCGCTCGCAAGGCCCAGTGCGTCGCCCACTTGTTCGGGGGTGCCTGCAGCCAGCCAGCGTGTTCTTCCCGAGGTGCGTCGCGCCGGCGATGTGCAGCGCCGCGGGGAAGCGAAATCCTTCGCGCGACGCTGCCGCCCTCGCGCGCGTCGGCCTCGCGGCCCCCGCCCCCCTCCCGCGCGCCCCTCGAGGCGCCGCGACAGGCGCCCAAGGGGCGCCCCTAAGCCTCAGGAGCCCCACAGAGCCTCGGGAGGCTGCCCGCGCAGCTGTAGGCGGCGCGACGCCCCAGAAAGAAAGCGCGCTAGCGCGGCGAACATCACGTTCGATGTTTAAATGTAGCGTTCTTTTGTCCAGCGAGGGTCCGTCGAGGGCGCGCCGGGACCACGCGGGGCCTTCAGCAACTCGGAATCACCTACGCCCTGGCCACAGCGGTAGGGGCAGGCGGCAGGTTCCCCAGTGGCAGGAGGTCCCCGCGGGGGTCCGCGCGCGCCCTCGGCGGGCCCCGCCTCGGGGGAGTCCAAGTGGCTCTGCGCGAGTGGCCCCGAGCGCGGGCCGCAGGGGGTCTGAATGGCCCAGCGCGAGCGAGCCCCAGCGCGGGCCGAGAGTGGCCTGACACGCAACGCGAGTGAGTCTGAATGAGAGCGGGCCTGCGCGCCAGGGGTGCGACTGAATCTGAAGGGGCGCGCGTCTGAACATGAGCGAAAATGAATACGAACGCTCGAGGGCAAGGGCAAAGGAAGCTCGCGCGCGTGAGAACGCACGCATGCGAGTGAGTCTGGCCGTCGGCGGCTGAACAGAAACTGGTCTCAGCGCGCGTGCATCTGGGACCCAGCGGGGCGGAAGGCGAGGTTTCCCGTGGGTCTTCTGGCTCAAGTCAAACACGTGCAAATGCGTTTGCAGATCATACCTAACTCAATTCATGCATCGTCAATTCTCTGGACGGCGCGAAGGAGCAGAAAATGCTTCGCACACTCTGGCTGGAAGCGAAGCCTGGGGCGCGTTCTGCGCGCGAGCAGGCCAATGCTTGGGCGCTGAGAGAAGCGTGGAACGACAGCGGCAAGGCCGAGCACGGGATGCTCACGCACATCGCCGAGAAGTTGAGAAAGTTTGGCGGGAAGGCGCCACGATCAGAGACCGTCGAGAAGCTGCTTTTCAAGTTTGATGCCGGCGGCAATTATTGCTCTGGCAAAGCAAATTACGACGAGGCGAGCCTTCTGGCTCTGCTGGCGAGGACGAACATGGCAGCGATTGCAGGGTCGGCCATGGCCTTGAAAAAGAACGGCGCGGAACCTACTTATGACTTGCAGCATGTCCAAAAGCAGCCGTGATTCTCGCGACGAAGCAGCCCTTCATGAAGTCTCCACTCCATTCAATTATTTCAAAGAAGATGTTATGACGAGGACCCGCGCCTGCCGTGGGAGCGCATAAATTCAGATTTTCAGAGATGGCGTTGTCAAGGGACGGGCGGGAGAAGCGGATGGAATTCGCGAACTCGGTGCTCTCTTGGACGCGCAACAACAAGTGGTATTACAATCATATTGTGTGGGCGGACCTCTGCATTTCGGTCATACCCGCGAGCGAGAAGAAAGCGAACGAGATGGCCCTGACCATTAAGGGGGAAAAAAAAAAAAAAGGATGGCAGAGCCCCGGCTCAGAATTGCCATCTCAGAACCTGCCCAACAACCCTTCGAGCTTACAACAGAAACCGTGGGACACGATGCGCATTTGGTGGTCCCCAATGCTGCGCGGGGAAGTTGCACGTGGATTGTTTCGACGGCAGCTTCCCTGGTGAGACGTCGCAGGGGGCATCGTGTCTCGTAGAACAGGTCAGGGCTGCGGTGGACATCCGTTACCATAATACGGCGTCGAAGCCTGACACTCTGTTCACAGATAAAGGGCGAGGATTATATATGACAAATCGTGGTTGCATAACAGCAGAGGGCCCTGGGGCGCTTGCGCATATGATTTTAGAGCAATCATGGGCAATAATGCTGTCCGACAGCCTGAGAATGTGCAAGACGTTTTTTGCATGGACAATTCGGTATCTGGGCTGCGACACAGGCTGTCACGCAGCACGCCTGCGAAGCGCTGGCAAGAGCCGCGCGAGGAGTACGTGCGCCGACCGAATGAAACGCTGCTGCGAAGAGGTGAGTAAAGAATGCAATGTCGATGGTCTCTGGAAAGGGCTGCCCAAGGGCATGAAGCAGCGACGGAGAGCGACGAGGACCGTCTGAAAAGTATGCCCTGCGACGGTAGCCGAGAGCAGCATCGCAGCACGAGTGGGTTACTGGACTGTGGCGGGGAAACTGGAAGCAGCAGTGAACTGGTCAGTGGGGAGAACCCCCCACGACGGCGACGACGACAGCGACGGTGAAAGCGAGGATGACGGCGGCGACGACCGATGTTGACCACGACCTGGGCGGCGGTGAAGGCGACGACGACGACGACGACGACGACGACGACGACGACGACGGCGACGTTGGCGACGACGACGGCGAGGTCCAGTGATCAGAACGCGCGACGGTAGAAACGTCGGGACGCAGAGAAGCAGCTCAGAAAGATTATGGAAGAAGCCGTCTGAGGAAAGCTCCAGCAGGAGAGCCTCAATAAAATTCTAAACGACTCCTAGCCCCGTGCCCTGGGTAAGTCGCCCTGGGGCCCCATGTTTGCCCTTAATCCATACTACACAAGAAACCGCGGTCTGACAGGATCCGTGCAAAACGCGTGGCTTCTCCACCACTCGGATCCGTCGCAAACTGAATGGAAAAAATGTTCCAATGGAAAAGAAAGGGAGAACATAAAAACAACAAGAAAACGTCCAAGAAGCTAAGATTCCGTAGAGCATCCGTAGCGGATCCGTACCCGGATCCGACGACCGAGGCGACGCTGACTCGCCCGAAAGGAAACCCGCATCACCGTCTGCTGGGGCCCCTGCATGGGTTTTCCGGCGCCCCACGCTGCGCCCATCGCCCGCGACCTGCCACCGACTCCCTTTTCCCCAGGTTGGCTGCCCCCACGGCCCCTGGCCTGGCTGGACCAACTGTCTGACATCTCCGTGTGATTTGATTATTCGGGCTGAACTCTCAAATCGTACCTAGCCTGACTGCCTGTAGAGAGCAGAAAACCCCCCCCAGAATAAGCACCCCGACAAGCGAAGCAATCTCTTCATCGCATCCAAACAAGGAATCGAACAGGGCAGGGCTGTTTAGGAAACGCCTATGGCCGTTTAGTAAACGCCAGTTGTCGGGGTCGGAGTGGTTTTCCTCCCTTGACACACGTCTCTGTACGTGCCCAAATCCGACGCTTCGGCGCCACCTGCTCGAAGCCCTCCGGGTCTAGAGCCGAAGTCCCGCCCAGCCAAAAAGACTCCTGGGCCGGTGGATCCCTTCCCGAGGGAACAGGCGTGCCAGGTGCGTGCGTTACGTATACCCCTCCGCACATGCATCGTTGCGGCATCCGCCGCGCGTATGCTGGATGCCCCACCGAAGGCCCCGATGCCGCCGAAATCAGGGGCGGCCAGAAGGGGAGCGTCCAAGAGGGGGGGGGGGGGCGCAAATCGTGGCTGGCGGCACGTGCGCGGCCCAGGGGAAGCGGGCCAGGGACGTACCAAAATAAGAAGAGGCGCCATGAAGTCTGGGGAGATCTCATGGCCCTGGCCATGATATCCACTCCCCCCCTAGTCATCACCCCCCTCTTGGCCGTCCCCGACGAAACCAGGAGCACCCGAGCAGGCAGGAGCCCGTCCTGCTTCCCAGACGCAGGCGCTGCTGGCGTCGATGCCGCACCTGCTTCTCCCTCGTCTGCGGGAGGTGCCTGTGGGCGTGCGGGCAGGCGCCGCAGCGGGCGAGGGTCTCGCCGCGGGGGTCCTGGCTCGGCCAGGGAACCCGCGGAGGTCGGGCGAACCATGGAGTCCTCCTCTCCTCCTCCTCCGCCTCCGCCTCCGCCTCCGCCTCCGCCTCCGCCTCCGCCTCCTCCTCCGCCTCCGCCTCCGCCTCCGCCTCCGCCTCCGCCTCCGCCTCCGCCTCCGCCTCCGCCTCCGCCTCCGCCTCCGCCTCCGCCTCCGCCTCCGCCTCCGCCTCCGCCTCCGCCTCCGCCTCCGCCTCCGCCTCCGCCTCCGCCTCCGCCTCCGCCCGCCTCCGCCTCCCCCTCTCCCCCCTCCCCCCTCCTCCTCCCTCCTCCTCCTCCTCCTCCTCCCCTCCTCCTCCTCTCCTCCTCCTCCCCTCCTCCTCCTCCCCTCCTCTCCTCCTCTCCTCTCCTCCCCCTCCTCACCTCCCCTCCTCCTCCTCCCCATCCTCTCCTCCTCCTCCTCCTCCTCCTCCTCCTCTCTCCTCCTCCTCCTCCTCCTCCTCCTCCTCCTCCTCTTCCTCCTCTCCTCTCCTCCTCCTCCTCCTCTCCTCCTCTTCCTCCTCTCCTCCTCCTCCTCTCCTCCTCCTCCTCCTCCTCCTCCCTCCTCCTCCTCCTCCCTCCTCCTCCTCCCTCTCCTCCTCCTCTCCTCCTCCTCCCCCTCCCCCTCCCCCTCCCCTCCCCTCCCCTCCCCTCCCCCCCTCCTCCGCTCTCCTCCTCCTCCTCCTCCTCCTCCTCTCTCCTCCTCCTCCTCCTTGCTCCTCCTCCTCCTCCTCCTCCTCTCCTCCTCCTCCTCCTCCTCCTCCTCCTCCTCTCTCCTCCCCCCCCTCCTCCTCCTCTCTCCCTCCCCTCCTCCTCCCCTCCTCCTCCTCCTCCTCCTCCTCCTCCTCCGCCTCCCCGCGGAGTCGGCCGAACCATAGGGTCGTCCTGCCGCCGCCGCACGGCACGAACGAGGGCGCAGGGCACGCAGGAATGCAGTAGGGGGACGAACAGTGGCATAAACATAAAAACTCGGAGGTCCGCGCGGATTTCTCGGATCCGCGCTGACCCCCCTGGCGGCGCCTCCGGCGCCGCCCCTGGCGCGCTCCGCGCGACCTGGAGGGGGGTCCAGCGCCGATCCGAGAAGTCCGCGCGGACCTCCGAGTTTCTAAGGTTTCTGTCATTGTTCGCTCCCCTACGCAGGGCCCCTGTGCGTCCGAAGCTGGGTAGCCTCGTGGGGCTGGCCAGCGAGATTGCTCACGAACGGGCCGAAGGAGCAGGGACGCCGAGGCAACCTCGGAGAACCATCGCATCCGTTCCGTGTGGGCGGGCGGCCACTGCATTGAGGGCCCCCGCTGCAGGGGCCACTGCCACAGGAAGGGGCCCCAGGCCCATCAGGTTCATAGACAATGCCCGCCCTGCCGAAGTCCAAGTGGGACGCTCTGGTGAGCGTTTTTTATTCGGCATTTCGGCATTGGGCGGCAAGGGGGGGGGTCTGGCTCCAGACCTCTGCTTAGTGCGACTGTTTGCAACGGTGCGTCCTGCGGGGGGGACCACATCTGCTCGAAACAGGCGCCAAAAACCAGCCAAGATCTACTCCATTGGGGAGGGCGGGATTTGGGGCCCGCGCCGATCGGCAAAACAATAATAAAAAAACGATCACCTGGGGATCCGGAAGGCACATCCGGGGACACACTGATCCGAGCCAGCACAAACCTTGGGTCGACTGGGGCCCTGTCGCGAAGCCTGGCCGGCCGCTTGGCAGCTCCCCAAAAAACCTAGGTCAGCGGGCGGGGGAGCGGGGTCGCCCCCACGTGGCTCCCAAACCGGGGTCAGCCAGGGTTGTGGATGCCATGACCATGGACACTCTAACAATTCGATCATTGAATTAAAGATGTGTCTAAAATGCGTGTTCACATCTTTAAGACATGTTTGAACCATGTTTTAGACATCTGGAAATTATTTGGCAGTATGCTTCCTCTCCATTGATCGACCTCCACAAAGCCAGGGGGGATTGGCTAACCTCCATTAGCGCAGACCCCCGTTACGTGAGCCCCGATACATGGGGTGCTGGCGTTGCGAGGTACCGGTGCCACTCACACAAGTACAGGCCCATCGAGTTCGTCACACGACCTGCGCCAATGAAGCCCGAGATGTGCGGCCACGACATCCCTGCTCGAAGGTTTCGAATCCGCCGTTCCAAGAGGCGTCTTGGAGGGAACTCTTACTGTGGTCCAGTCTCCCCCGCCCTCCCTGACATTATCGCCCACTTCCCTCTTCGGCACCAGCCCTGATTACTTTGACCCCCAGCCCTGGCTGCTCATTCTGGGGACCTTCCTAGAGCCACTCGCTCCACTCGTGCGTCGAAGCTGTCGAACGTCCGTCGACTCGAGTCGACCTTGAGTCGAACCTGAGTCGAACCTGAGTCGAATTTGAAGCGAACTTGAGTCGAACTGGGGTCGCACTGGAGTCGAACAGATCCGATAGGTGGGCACCAGGAAAGTCCCCAAAACGAGCATCTAACCAGCCTGTAATGCACCAGGTCTGACACTCCTAGAGCATAGGAAGCACCTGTTAGAGGGCCCCCCGACCATCGATTCCAAGCCCAAACACAAGCGATACCGACCCCCCTCCAAGAATCCACCAAGTCTGACCTCCTGGACTACAGGTTGCCTGTGCTTGAGACAGCGCATTTCAAGTTCACTTGCCTTGGAAAATCCCTTTCGAAACCAGCGGACCTCCCCCTCCCCAACACGAAAATGACCCGGTGACGTACCCAAACCTTTCTAGACATCTGGCGACAATACCAGGAGGAGGAGGAGGAGGAGGAGGAGGGGGAATCTAGCTTTGCAAATGATATGTACATCTGCCACAAACCTGCGGGGGGTGGGCCCCGAGACCCCACTCCCCCTTTGCGCTGGGGGGGACAACGAACCCGCCCCCTATCCCAAGCGCAAGTGAAAAGCGTGTTTTCTTTCGTTTGTTTGCCTATGTGTTTGATTGTATGTTTGTTTGATTGTTTGCTTGTTTGCTTGTTTGTTTGTTTGCTTGCTTGTTTGCGTGTTTGCCTGTTTGGTTGCTTATGTGCTTGCTTATGTATGTGTTTGTTTGTTTGTTTGCTTGTTTGCTTGTTTGCGTGTGTGTTTGTGTGTTTGCTTATTTGTTTATGTGTTTCTTTATTTGTTCGTTTGTTTGTTTGTTTGTTTGTTTGTTTGTTTGTTTGTTTGTTTGTTTGTTTCCTGATAAGGGCTCCCTCCCCGGCTCAAGGTTCCCATTTCGTGGGCGGGCACGTGCATTCGGAACATTCGGCACGTGTAGTCACATGTCCAGGCCCCTAGGTCGATGTCGAACAAGAGGTCAACGGATTCTGGACACGTGCAACACGTGCGCGTGCGGAGAGTCTATCCGACATTGAGGCTGGCGCGCGCAGTTGGCACAGGTTTTCATGCGTCCAGGCTCCCAGGTGGATTCCGAACGTGCGATAGTCGGATTCTTCACGCGTGCAACAACGTGCGCCGATGGGGGGATCCACCGCAGGGATAGGTTTCACAAGTGGTCGCAGGCCCGTCCTCCCCAGATCCCCCTCCAGAGTCTCCAGGTGGCCTCCAAGGCAGACCCCACGACGGCCCCAAGACCGCCCCGAGACAGCCCCCGGGACCCTCCTCACGTGGGCAGTTCCAGAAACCCTGAATCCCAAAAACTGGCACCGTGGGGGGGGGCAGCTTCTGTCTCCGCTGGCCTGAAAGAGGGGTGGGCCCCGGGACCCGCCGAGACGGCTCGGGGACGCACCGACCCGGGTCAGCGCCGACCCGAAGCCAGCCCGGGCCACGCCGCGGAGCCGGGGCGGCCACGGAGCAGCTCGGAGCTCCCGGGCCAGCGGAGGGCGAAGGGGCGCGGGGTCGCCCCCGCGCGGCTCCCAAGCTCGGGCCGGCCAGAGGGGATCTCGGCTGACCCCCGTCAGCGCTGGCCCCACGTCGCGTGGGCCCAGACGAGACGGCCCAAAAGACCCCCGCACTGGCCCTCAGAGAGGGGCGCCCGCGCACGAGCCTTCGCGTCGGCTGTCCGTGCGGCCTCCGCGCCGTCCGAGTGGCGGGACTTGCAGCACCAGCAGGGGGAGCAGGGCGCGTCCTCGCCGAAAAAGCGGTACTCGTACCTGCGGAGGGAGCGGGTGGGGGTCGGGCCTGCTCTCCTACAGGCAGATGTTGGAAGAAGAACCAAGAAAATGTCAAACAAATATCCAAACTAGTCCAAAAATAGTGAAACATATCCCCCTGATTATTGACTATTCTTGCCTATGCTTGAATAGTCTCCCTGTAGAGGGACATGCCCGACTTAAGCCTGGCTGGCCCACACGGGGGCGGGGGCGAGGAGGGAGAAGGGAGCTGAGGCATCTACCCCGAGATCGGGCGTCGCAAGCTCTCCGCGGCGGGCGCTGTCGCCCAGGTTCGGGCCCCAGGGCCACCACAGATCGATCCGGCTAGAAAAACGGCGCCAGAAGGATGGGGTCCAGGGCTCCGGTCGTGATCTTTCGCCACGTTGCATGTTTGCCCATGGTTTGCCCAACGTCGGATCTCAGGGTGCCGGCGCGAGGAGGCCACATACGCTGACAAAGGGGCACAGAGGGGCGCAGCGTGCCATGAGCGCAGAGAGCATGAGCGAGCGAGTGGCCGCTGCAAGGCCCTGTGCGCACGAGAGCTTGGGAGTCCCTCAGAGTGCCGAGATACGAAGGATACGAGGCAGGAGGAGGGGGAGAAGCAAGCAAGCAAGCAGCAGCGCATGGAATGCTGGTGCCAAGGTGCGGTCCTTCCGAAAGAGAGACAGACCATGCTCTGCGAACCCCGAGGGGCGCTCCGAGACAACCATCGAAACCATCGACCCATGCATTTTTCTTGGGCTCTCATTGGAATCCGAGTGGGGTCTTAATGGGATCCGATTGGGATTCAGGATCTTGGTAGGATCCCGCACTGAGGGATTTGGGGGCGGGATGTCACTACCAGGTGGCGAGAGGCGAGATAGTTTCACCGAAAAGAGGGGGAGTCTGAATTGCCTCTTACGGTTATTCTGATCCGACGGAGCGCACCCGAAAATGACGGATTCCTGCCTCTGTCCATTCTGCTCGCCCTCCTCCTCCTCCTCCTCCTCCTCCTCCTCCTCCTCCTCCTCCTCCTCCTCCTCCTCCTCCTCCTCCTCCTCCTCCTCCTCTTCCTCCCCCTCCTCCTCCTCCTCCTCCTACTCCGCCTCCTCCTCGTCCTCCTCGTCCTCATCCGGTTTTTTCCTCCTCGTCCCTCCTGCGCCCCTCCCCTCCCCCTCCCATTCCTTCTCCGATTTCTCCTCCATCCTCCGCTCCTCTTGGGGTATTTTCCCAACCCCTGATTCCACTGTATGCTCCTCCGCATCCTTGATCACGGTAACTCGCCTGGGCGTCGATTCTGAATGAGCTGTCGGGGTTACTTGTTGGTCGGCGGCTCCGAAGCAGCGGTCAGGGAGCGGAAGGCATCGTCCGGGCCAGCAGGCGAGGCTAATTAGCAACAACAGGCAACGCACCTGCAGTAATAATTCGCAAAGAATGCGAAGCGTGTATATGCACTGAGCAAAATGCTCCGCATTAGGGCGAACGCACCTAGGCGCCAGCCACACCGAAGTGAAGCAGACCGCAGTGCAGTGCAACGGAGAAGTCGCCCTGTCGGCGCCAAGCTCCGAGCAGCCCACCTAGCCGAAAGCGGGCTGGTAGAACCGAAGCAACACGCTGAATGCTGAACCACTCAGAGCGAAGTCCGTACCACCGCCGTACGCGGGGTCGGCTAAGACAGGGGCAGAGGAAAGACAGGCCGTCGGGGTTACCCGAAGCGTCTAGAATCTAACAGAGTAAAATACAGTATATTAGCAGTAGGGTAGAGCAGGGTAGAGCAAGACCAGAGTAGAGTAGAGCAGAGAAAAGTAGAGTCGAGTATAATCGAGCAGAATACAGTAGGGTAGATGGTAGAGGAGAACCGCGAGTATAACGGAGTGGAGACGCATACGAACACCGCTACTGTGGCATTATGAGCAGCTCCCTGTAGGACCACGACACGTGTGAGGGGTGTGCCTACATGAGTGGCAATGATGGTGACGATAACGGCGATGGAGATGACGATGATAGTGATGACGATGATGGTGATGATGACGATGATGACGATGATGACGAGGATGGCGACGATGACGGCGATGAACATGATGATGATAATGACGACAAGAATGATAATGATGAGTATGCTGATGGTGATGATGGTGATGATGGTGATGATGGTGATGATGTTGATGATGATGTTGATCATAATGATGATGGTGATCATGAGGATGCTGATGATGATGATGGTGGTGGTGGTGATGTTGATGCAGATGGTTGTGATGATGATAATGATGATGCTGATGCGGATGTTGATGATGATGCCGATGATGATTGAGGAGGGGAGTAGGAGGAGAGGAGAGGAGGAGGGGCACGGGGCGCGGTCTCTTCAAAACGATGACCCAACACCTCAGGATGGTTGGGAAAAAAAACCTGGGCTCCGATGGGGGGCAGAATGTGACTTCTCGTAAATATACACATGGGATAGCATGCGAGACACAATGTGCATATATATATATATATATATATACATATATATACGCCTGCCGACACACACGCACGTACCAAAACCACACGCGCGCGCTATGCGCGCGCATCGCTCGTCTGGTCAACGACATTTGGCGGTCAGTGCGCGCGCTCACGTGAGGGGCAATCGCCGCGAAGTGGGATTCCTCACATTAGTCAAGGCTGCACGCGGGCTGGGCTGGAAGAGGCGCAGAACATGTCACAGCAGAACGGCGCGACCAATTCCTCCTGGCGTTTGTCGGTGGACCCAGCGTCTTGCGACTCCCTCCAGGCTGTCTTGAGAGCCCTCCCCCGGTGGCCCTGGGGACCCGCAGGAGCGCTCGGCCCTCCCGCCGAGCCCCGTCGGGCCTCGAGGCCTCGGAGCGCCCTGGTCTCGCGCACGGCGATGGCCGCGCGGGGCACGATCGAGCAGGGCGCCCCAAAAGTGTGGGCGAGGGGCGGGGTAGCGAGTCGGCTCCCTCCCGAGAGCGCCTGGAGAATCTAAAATTGATGGTTTTCATTCGTTTTTGAAGTCTTCTGACCTTCTCACCATTTCATGCTTCCAACGCTCCAAGACGGCCGAAGAGGCCCCCAAGACCGCCCCAAGACCGCCCAAGACGGCCCCAAGACGGGCCAAGAAGGCCCCAAGACTGCCGAAGAGGTGCCCAGGACAGCTCCAGACCACCCCAGAACAGGCCCAAGATGGGCCCCAGAGCGGGAGCAGGAGGCCTCCAGAGACCTCCGAGAGGACTCCGGGACCCCCCAGAAGCCCCCAACACACCCCAGACCATTGAGAGGCCCAAAAAAAGCCCCGACGAGGCCCCAAAAACAGCCCAAGAGAGCTTCGAGAGCCGTCCCGCGAGAGCCCGAAGGGGGTTAAAATCGTTAATTTCCAATGGCTTTTGTCGACGTGTTTCGCCTTCTCACGCTTTCCTGCTTCCAACGCTCCAAGACCGAGGAGGAGCTTTCACAAAGGAATTCCAGAGATTCCCTTTTTTGTTCAAGTTGGGACTCCTACTCCCTTCCTCTTCCTCGAGCCCCATCAAGACTTCGGGGTCACATGCAAAAATGTTTCGGGAATGCTGTTGAATTCTCTGACGCTGTGTTGGCATTATGTTGGATCGTCTTCATGTCCTCTTGGCTGCCCCTGAAACTACTGTAGAAATCGAGATGCCATGACCCCAAGAGTTGAAACAATGGAATTTTAGAATAGTTTTTTCAAACTCACCCCCTGCTTAGTTTTGCACGAAGACCCCGAGAGGCATCCCAACAGACCGTGGCCTGCATCCAGAAAACGTCTAACTCACAGCCCGGGCATTACAACTTGATAAAATACAAATCCCACGATTCCGTTTTTTCCAAGTTCGCCCCCCTGTCTACTCTCGCACAACAGACCGCAACTAAGGTCCTAGAAAAGAACCCAGGAAGCAGTCGAGGACCCCAAATCGTTGAACACCTAACGGCAATTCATGATTGCTGCGTTTCCGCGGTTCCCCTTCTATAGGATTCCGAGGCTTGCGCAGAGCCACCAAGAGAGTCCCTGAATGCAAGAAGCGACAAAGATGATATTCCATGTGTGTGCCCATCAAGCCTAACTAGAACTTCAGCGCGCGCGAAGCGCGCGCGATGGTTCTAGTATACATATACACATAAATCCATTCATATCTACATAAATACATACCTACCGATCTACCTACCTATCTATCTATCTACATACATGCATACATACATACATTACATTGCATTGCATTGCCTTCCATTGCATTACACTACACTACACTACACTACACTACACTACATTACATTACATTACATTACATTACATTACATTACATTACATTAATTGATATTGCATTACACTACATTACATTACAATACAATACATTACAATACATTACATTACATTACATATAATACATACATTACATTGCGTGGCATTACATTACATTACAGTCCATTATACTACATTACATTACACTGCATTACAATACATTACAATAAATACTTTACAATACATTACATTACAGCACATTACATTACATTACACCACGATACATACATACAGACAGACAGACAGACAGACATACAGACATACATACATACCGACATCCAGACATACAGGCATACAGGCATATAGACATACATACATACACACATGTATATACATACTAGATCGCGCGCGCTTCGCGCGCGCTCACGTTCTAGCCCAGGCTGGGGGCGCACTAGAAGATCTTGGACAGCGCTATCAAGCACAGGCGCGTGACATAGTCGTGCCTCCTGAGGGCCTCTTGGGAACCTCTTGGGTCTTCGAGGGGGCATCTGAAGGGCTTCTGGGAGGTTCCCCGTGCTTCCTCAATTGGCTGTTGGAGGCACTTCTTGGGTGCTTCTCGGGGGGGCATCTTGGGGCTTCTTGGGGTCCTTTGGGGGCATCGTCAGGGTTCTCCGGGCAGTCGGAAAGTGATGTTCTGCAGTCTGAAGCAGTCAATTGGCTGTCGTGGCTGCGTGGAAGCCCGGCTTGAGGCCACATTGGGGCAATCCGGAAG